GGTGCCAGAGTGCCTTCCAAGTCGCCAGCTTTTCTGTGTGCCCAGGGGAGAGTCTCTCATTTGGTATAAGCCATTGATTGAGGTTCTGGGTTTGAGCCTGCCACTTTTGGACTCTCGCTTGCTGAGGTGTTCCAGCGAGTGTCTCTATAGATCTTAGAAAACCAGTGTGGAAACTCACCACGCTAAACTCACCACACTAAAACAGTAGATGTGGCTCTTAATGAGACATGCCACATTATCACGGAGTGTCTGCGCCCTACACCACTGGAGAAATTACACTGTTTAGCAGGTATTGCAGCCAATAGTGAAAGTAGCAGCCAATAGTGAAAGGACCAAGGCAGTGACATCTCCAGCTCATCCCCTGTTTGGGTATAAGCTAGCACGTCAACAACTTAAACATAATAATAATAACACTATGTAACAAAATTTGAAAGTGTTATTTCCTGTTTAATTGAGTGGGATTTACTTTGAAAGTCATTGTTCTACTCCAGAAACTTCATTTTTGTGGTTACCACAACCAGGTTTATGTATTTATGTATTTATTTATTTAACATGCATGTACCCCACCCTTCTCACCCCAGTGGCTTTACAAAGGCAACAATTCGATGCCACATATTGATAAATAAACAAATGCATTAAAATCCAAACCAATTAAAACATAAACATTAAAACATTAATTAAATTCACACAATCCAGGTCATATTCCAGGGCTGATCTGAGTCATCATTATGTTATTTATAGTTTCTTATTGCACTGCTCCCATTTACTGACTGGAAGCTTGGTCCCAAAGCTATGTTTTTAGTTTTTTTTCTGAAGGTCAGGAGGGAGGGACTGATCTAATTTCTCTGGGGAGGGAGTTCCATAGATGAGGGGGCATCACTGAGAAGGCCCTGTCTCTCATCTCCACCAGTCACATTTGCGAGGAGGATGGGACCAAGAGCAGGGCCTCCCCAGACAATCTTAACCTCTGAGGTGGATCATAGAGGGAGATACATTCGGACAGTTAAGTTGGGCTGAAACCGTTTAGGGCTTTATAGGCTAAAGGCAGCACATTGAATTGTGCTCGGTAGTAGACTGGCAGCCAGTGGAGCTGAAGCAACAGGGGAGTTGTATGCTCCCTGTATGCTGCTCCAGTGAGCAATCTGGCTGCCACCCGTTGGACCACTTGAAGTTTCTGAACAGTCTTCAAAGGCAAGGCCATGTAGAGCCCATTGCAGTAGTCTAATTGAGATGTAACAAGAGTGTGGATCATTCTGGCCAAGTCTGACTAGCCATCGTGGAGATTCTATAAGATATTCTATGAGATATTCATTGAAAACCTAGGGCAAAATGTGCTGCAATATGTCCTGTAAAAGCTTTTACAGATTAATACACTTTTAATTATGGAATCAATTAGGAAATGACATTTATAACCCAGGAACAAAAATCATATTATGTAGCATCATCATCATCATCTTTATCATACCTACACTGAGTACTCCTTGCTCAAGAAAACCCTTTGAAATCCATAGGGTCAGCATAAGTCGGTGAGCACCTTGAAGGCACATACACACATACATTGTTCTCTGATGCTTGCGTAAATGGATCTCTTTTTAACTAGCATCTGAAAGTGGATGGCACGAAGCTTCAGAATTTGTGCCATTGATGTTAGTAGGTTGGTGATCCTGTCCTGATTTTAATTTGAACTTTAAAGGGGGCATCCAAGGTGCTGAACCAATGGGGGGTTAGAGTTCAGCACATTGGATAGCTCTCTAAATCCATCACTTTGCTGACATAGCAGCTGCCACTGTATTCCCTGGCGGGGCCGTGGGCCTTTGCTCTGCCAACATCTGCCTCATTATTCACAAGCAAGTTACAAAGGACTGCATTGCAACAGCTCTTTGGAACAGTGGGACTTGGCACCGGCGAAGTAGGAAATGGGCCCTTGCCAGTTTAGCAGCTCCCTACGCTGCGCTAGAGAAGAAAAGGCCGTGTCAGATGGAGTCCTAAAATAGGGGGTTACGGTGTTGCTGTGGTGATCCGCCAGCGCCTGGGCATCTGCCATTAAGTGAGAGCGCAAATTGAATGGGCATCTGATCCGCATCCAGCCTCCTCAGCACCAGGCCCAGCGACCACAGCCAACTTGCAAAACTTGCCACATTTCTACCCACAGATGACACCAAGTAACAGAATGTGAAAAGTTTTCTGTTCCTGGTTTGAAAGTGGTATTTCCTGTTTATTGTGTGGTCCTTACTTTGAGTAGTTGTTCTACTCTGGAAATGCTGTTATATGGCTTCTACAAAAAAATAAAAAAATCGGGTCAGTGAAGATCACATTAAACAGTGGTTCTCAACCTTCCTAATGCCGTGACCCCTGAATACAGTCCCTCATGTTGTGGTGACCCCCAACCATAACATTGTTTTTGTTGCTACTTCATAACAGTCATTTTACTACTGTTATAAATCATGATGTAAATCTCAGATATGCATGATGTATTTTCATTCACTGGACCAAACTGGGCACAAATACCCAATGCACCCAAATGTAAATGCTAGTGGGGTTGGGGGAGGACTGATTTTGTAATTTGGGAGTTGTAGTTGCTAGGATGTATAATTCACCTATAATCAAAGAGCATTCTGAACTCCACCAGCGATGGATTTGAACCTAATTTGCCACACAGAACTCCCATGACCCACAGAAAATACTGGAAGGGTTTGGTGGGCATTGACCTTGAGTTTGGGAGTTGTAGTTCACCTATATCCAGAGAGCACCGTGGACTCACGCAATGGTGGATCTGGACCAAACTTGGCATGAATACTCAATATGTACAAATGTGAACACTGGTGGAGTCTGGGGAAAATAGACCTTGACTTTTGGGAGTTGTAGTTGCTGGGATTTATAGTTCACTACAATCAAAGAGGAGCCCCCGGTGGAGCAGTGGGTTAAAGCACTGAGCTGCTGAGCTTGTTGATCGAAAGGTTGCAGGTTCAATTCCGGGGAGCGGCGTGAGCTTCCGCTGTCAGCCCTAGCTTCTGCCAACCTAGCAGTTCGAAAACATGCAAATGTGAGTAGATCAATAGGTACCGCTCCGGCGGGAAGGTAACGGTGCTCCATGCAGTCATGCCGGCCACATGACCTTGGAGGTGTCTACGGACAACGCTGGCTCTTCGGCTTAGAAATGGAGATGAGCACCACACCCCAGAGTCAGACATGACTGGACTTAATGTCAGGGGACTACCTTTACCTTTACCTTACAATCAAAGAACATTCTGCACTCCACCAAATATAGAATTGGCCCAAGCTTCCCACATGGAATCCCCATTACCATCAGAAAATACTGTGTTTTCTGATGGTCATTGGTGACCCCTCTGGCACCCCTTTGTGACCCCCTCAGGGGTCTCGACCTCCAGGTTGAGAAACACTGCACTAGAAACATGATCACATCCTAAACACATCACAGAGAGGAGTGGAGCAGGCTTGCTCTTTGCTGGACCAAGTCCAATGATTTTAAATTAAAAGAAGGTAGATTTTAGATTTTTATTTAACATTAAAAGGAACTTGTTTCAGCAATGGAAACAATTACCAAAGAGAGAAGGGTCCTTCTCTGGACCTCTTCAGAATAACTCCCTACTAGGAATGATTACCTGTAAATAACAACAACAACAACAACACTATGTAACAAAATTTGAAACATTTTCTGATTCTGGTTTGAAAGTAATATTTCTGTTTAATTGTGCAGTACTTACTTTGAAAGTCGTTGTTCTACTCCAGAAACGTCATTTTTGTGGCACAAACTATGTTGAATTGGTTGAGACTCGATGAGATATTCATCTCATTAAGCAAAATATGCTACAGCAGGATGTCTTTCCCGCGAAGACAAGTATTATCAGTTTCATGAACTTTTTCCAAGTGTTTATGATATTAGGAAATGACATTTATTGTTGGAAATAGCAACCTTCTTACTGTATTCTTACTGTATTGTATATGTGTGTATTGATTTGCAATTTTACTTTAACTCTTTGTTGTGGGAGGGGCTGTAGACCATGTGATCAGAACTGGGCTTGTTCAGGATTCAGACTCCATTTTAGATATATGCATCAGACTTCACTGCAGAAACAGTATGCTTTTAAGAAGACGAGGAACTGTATGCTTTCAGGTGCCAGCAGGAACAGTTTGTTTTGAACTTCAGTAGGAACAGTATGCTTAGAGACTCCATTGGACTTTCAGACTAGACAGAGGCTGTATTAGACTCTCAGAACAGGGAGATGCTTTGGACTATTGATTCTAAGAAAGATGCCCTATGTTACCTACACAGAGAAACTACTTCAAATCTATTTGTAACTGGATTGATAAGCAAAGTACCTGTATGCTGTATGCTGAATACATGAAGTTTGTGAATAAAGCAACTATGTTATTTTTAGAGAAGTCTAGTTATTTTTGTCTCTTGAGAGCAGGATTTAAAGGCAAATATATTTTAAGTGAGAGTAGATGTTTTTGGGGAACTGAAAAGGACACTTCTGAAACTCTGCTGAATTTATGTTTGTGCATTGGCATATCTTTGTCCCTGACAGTTCAAAGACATACCTAGGTTAATCAGTTTAATAGCTCAGAGACCTAATTGCCTTGCTTGAATGCTGGTTAATGCCATTTGCCCAAAAGGTTGTGACTAACAGATCATGTTTTTTACCAAGATATTATGGCATCATTTTTCTAACAAGGTCATGCCTTTTCAAAGATCTTAAAAATTTCCAAAAGGTGATGGAAATGCTGTCTTATATAGTGTTATATTTACTTGTTTTTTAAAATGTGGAGGGATTCTTTGTTTCTCTGTTAGACGTCATCTACTCACGGCATAGTTAGGGACAACCTGCAGATAGGCTCCTTGATGTTCTTGATAAAGACACGCCTTTGAAGGCTGTTCCCTTCGGTCCCCAGGTTTCCAAAGCACGGAAAGAAGTGCTCCAGTAATCGGTTAGTAATGGTGCCAAATGAACATGTTGCTTCCTTTACTCCCCATCCAGGCTGTGACAGCGAGCACTGGGGACCCCACTGCAGCAACCGCTGCCAATGCCAGAATGGTGCTCTCTGCAACCCCATCACCGGCGCCTGCGTCTGTTCCATCGGGTACAAAGGGTGGCGCTGTGAGGACTTCTGCGACCCAGGCACCTATGGGAAAAACTGCCAGCTGAAGTGCCAGTGCCACAATGGGGCCACCTGTGACCACAAGACCGGCGAGTGCCACTGCGCGCCGGGATACACAGGCGTCTTGTAAGTTAAGCGACCGGGTGTACATTACAGCAAACTGAATACTGTAGATTCAATGTTATATTACTTAGGTGATCCCTCGTAGCCCGAGGATGATGTCTTCCAAGTGGTAGGTCCGTAGGTGGCTGTGGAGCCCTATTCTTGATCCATGTGTTCTCCCACAGTGAGGATATACGTTTCCATGTGGAAGGTGGTCCCGGTCAGGGTTGGCTTGATGTGCCTTCCTCATGGCACCTTTCTCCCTTTCACCCTCCATTCATGCCTCTTCAAATTCTGCAGCACTGCTGGTCACAGCTGACCTCCAGTTAGAATGCTCAGGGGCCAGGACTTCCCAGTTCTCAGTGCCTATACCACAGTTTTTAAGGTTGGCTTTCAGCTCATCTTTAATCTCTTTTCCTGTCCACCAACATTATAGAATCATAGAGTTGGAAGAAACCTCACAGGCCATCCAGTTCAACCCCCTGCCAAGAAGCAGGAAAATTGCATTCAAAGTATCCTCGACAGATGGCCATGCAGCCTCTGTTTAAAAGCCTCCAAAGAAGAAGCCTCCACCTCATTTCCCATTCTTGAGTTGGGAGTATAGGAACTGCTTTGGGAGATGGGCATTCGGACAACATAGCCAGTCCTGTAGAGTTGATGGCGTAGGAGCATCGCTTCAGTACTGGTGGTCTTTGCTTCTTCCAGCACACTGATGTTTGTCCGCCTGTCATCTGGAATCTCTAGATGAAAGAGTTGCACTGGGGGACTTAAGGATTTCTAGAGAGAACACTTCTCTAGACCTCTGTGTATCCTCTAGTGTGATTCTGTTGCCAGTTTCCAGTGAAAGGACCTAGAGATTCCTCTGTTAAAAAAAATAATGTTTTTAAAGAATTCTTGGTTTTTGTGAAGGCCCTGCATAGTCCATTCCACTGTCCCACAGATCTTACTGCCAGAATATTCTTCTTACATTAGAATTAATGCTGATTGATGCCATTTTTACTGTCGCGCTTCAATGCTATGGAATGGTATGAGTTGTCATTTAGTGAGACACCATGTGGCAGAGAAGGCTAAAGACCTTGAAAAGCTACAACTCCCAGGATTCCATAGCATTGAGCCATGGCAGTGGAAGTGGTGCCAAACTGCAGTATAGATGCACCCTGTAAATGCTTTATTAGTTACCATATATACTTGAATATAAACTGAGACACCTAATTTTACCACAAAAATTGGAAAACCATATTGACTCGAGTATATGCCAAGGGTGCGAAATGCAGCCGCATACTGGTAAATTTCAAAATAAAAAATAGATATCCATAAAATTACATGAATTGAGGCATCAGTAGGTTAAATGTTTTTGAATATTTACATAAAACTGTAATTTAAAATAAGACTGTCCAACTCTAATTAAACCATTATTCTAACCTGTGCTTACATAGCCTTTCAAAAATAATAGAGTAAAATAAAAAATGTAATAATAATAATAGAGTAAAATAATGGAAATGTAATAACAACAATAATAATAGAGTAAAAATTAAATGTACTAATAATAACATAATAAAATAATAAATGCAATAATAAGAAATAGAGGAAAATAATAATTGTAATAATCTCAATAATAGAGTAAAAATGTAGTAATAACAATAATAATTGAGTAAAAATAAATGTAAAAATAACATAATAGATAAAAATAATAAATGTAATAATACAAGTTAATAAAGAAAAATAATAAATGTTATAATAATAATAATAATAGAGTAAAACTGTGTAAATCTAATAATAATAATAATAATAATAACCTCTGAGAATGGCTGCCATAGAAACATCAGGAGAGAATGCTTCTGGAACATGGCCATACAGCCCAGAAAACACACAACAACTCAATAATAATAAATAGAGTAAAATAATAAATGTATTAATAATAATAATAATTGCAACGAGTCTGGCACAAGCCAGTAAAGGTTGTCCCAGTGGTGATCAGCACACTGGATGCAATGCCTAAAGACCCTGGCCTGCACTTAAACACAATTGGTGCTGACAAAATTACCATGCCAGCTTCAGAAGGCCACCTTACTGGGATCTGCAAGTATTATTCGCTAATACATCACACAGTCCAAGACACTTGGAAAGTGTCCGACGTGTGATCCAATACAACAGCTAGCAGAGTGATCTTGTCTGCTGTGGACACATCTTGATGTGTATCAAATAATATTAATAATAAAATAGAATAAAATAATAAATAATCTTGAGTCGAGTATAAGCCAAAGGTGGCATTTTCAACCTTAAAAGGGCTGAAAACGTGGCTTATACTCAAGTATATACGGTATTTACTATTTGCCTGTCATTTGAATCCAGTAGGTTGAGTCTTATCCTGTAGAATGCTCAAAACATGCCCCACTTTCTGTCCAATCTGCCTCCAAATACTTGCTACTGCCTTTCCTCCTGTCACCACGCCGCCTTCCCCTCTTTAGCCTAGAGGTGCCCATCTCTTTCTCGAATGCCTCCCATGTTATCCTATGATCCTTTGCCCCAGGAAGAGAAGATGCCACCCTTGGGGCCAGGCTACACAAAAGACTGCCTGTTGAACCGAAGAGTTCAATGCACGCCTTCACCCGCTCTGCCCATCTTGCCGCCCGTCCTGCCAAGTGCTCCCCAGGAAGCGCTTCTGAGCTCCCATGAATCATTGTCTCGGTGAATAAGGCTCTGTTCACACGAACAGAAGGTTTGCAACAAAAGCCACACTGTTTTGGAGCAATAGCTATCAGATCGCTACAGTTTACCATTGACAGTGTCGGTGAGAATCCACTGTGATTTGCATAAAGCGCGACGGCAATGGGTCACCCCCAAGGAGTTTCCTGACATAAATTTTTTCCGTGTCTCTCCTTTGTGCTGTGTCTCCTTCTCCTCCAACGACACCTGCCCAGCTGTGAAGAGCGCTGTCCTCCGGGGAGCCATGGATTTCAGTGCGAACAGCGGTGCCCGTGCCAAAACGGGGGGACCTGTCACCACATCACAGGGGAATGCGCCTGCCCACCAGGATGGATGGTAGGTAATGCCGGGGTCACAATAAATGCATGCTCTAGAACAGGTCTGGGCCAACTTGGGCCCACCAGGTGTTTTGGACTTCAACTCCCACGATTCCTAACAGCCTCAGGCCCCTTCAGGAAGGGGCCTGAGGCTGTTAGGAATTGTGGGAGTTGAAGTCCAAAACACCTGGAGGGCCCAAGTTTGCCTATGGCTAGTCTAAAAGGAGCTGGGCTGCCTGTGGATATAGTGAGGTCGGTCCTCTATTTACTCGAACCGAATGCTCAACTTTTGAGGCTAAATAACCTCTCCAAAATAAGGTTGCGCCTTAGATATGCGTCATACAGTTCTCTTTGAACTTAAAGTTTTTTATGTTGGGCAAGTTTGCTCTAGATGCATCATTGGTGAAGTTCGGTGTGCTCTCTGGCTGTAGGGTAAACTACAACTCCCAATATGGTGAGTCAGTCCCCTCAAACCCCTCCAGTAGGTTGAATTAGTCATGGAGGTTCTGTGTCCCACGTTTGGTCCAGGCCCATCTTCGGTGGAGGTCACCGTTTCTCTGGTTGTGGGTGAACTACAACTCCCAGAAAGGAAGGTCATTTCCCCCCACCCCCCACCCCATTTTCCCTCCAGCAATCACATTTTGGAATATCAGGTATGTGTGCCAAGTTTGGTTCTGATCCATTGGTTTTTGGGTTTACAGTGCTCTCTGAATGTAGGTGAACTACAACTCCCCCAAATCAAGTTGAATTTTCCCCTCAAGTATTTTTTGCTGGTTATGGGGCTCTGTGTGCCAAGTTTGGTCCATTTCCATCTTTAGTGGAGTTCACGGTGCTCATTGATTGCAGGAGAACTATAAATCCCTTACCTACAACTCCAAAATGTCCAGGCCAATTCCCCTGAAAACCCACCAGTATTCAGATTCGGTCAAGTATTCAGTTCGGTCAAGATCCATCATTGTTTGGTTTCATAGTGCACTCTGGATGCAGGTGAACTATAAATCCCTCCAACGAACTCCAGTATGTTTTGTTAGTCATGGGGTTCTGTGTCCCAAGTTAGCTCCAGATCCATTGTTGGTGAAGTTCAGAGTGCTCTTAGATTGCAGGTGAACTATACATCCCATTAGCTACAACTCCTATAAATCATGGAGAATTCTCCCTAAACCTCTCAAGTATGTTCAGTCTCTGATCAATTCCTCTGTTTTCTGTGTGCCATAGAAAAGAATAGGAAAGGGTTAAGGGAGAGGCAGTGGGTGGAGTCATGCAAATTTCACACCAATGGAGAGAGTCAGAAACACTGGGGTGCCTATAATGGAGGAAACGTATAAACTCCAGAATGAAATTGTCCCTGTATGAAAGCCTTCATTTGGGTGATGGGCAGTGTGGTGTTTGTGGAGGCCATTGGCAGGGCTCTTGGACATATTCATGATGCTCACTATAACCTATAATGTCATTGGAGGGAGGACCACTGGTGTGCCCTGGATAGTGGGAGCTTTAGCTATTTGTGGAAGTGGGGCATTGTCTGTAGATGTGGGTACGCCAGCCACACATACACTTTTATTGTGTTTGTGTGTGTGTGTCTGGAGTTGCAATTAAAAAATGTCCCTGTTCCGACTTACATACAAATTCATCTTAAGAACAAACCTACAGAACCTCTCTTGTTTGTAACTTAGGGACTGCCTATCAATTTTTGCTAAGCAACAAGGCCTTTGTACAGTCGCCATAAGTTGAAGTTGACTAGATAGCAATGAACAACAACCAAATAGACATTCATGTGTAGATAATGCAGTGAGGTTGCCAATGGATGTTGTCTCAGAAAAGTCCCCTTTCTTGGTCCTGATTGAATTAATGTTTCTTGGCCAGACTAAAAAACATATGATCAGGTTGTGCATGGGGCATCTATATATTATCCTGTCCTTACTGGTGAATAGGCAGTATTTCATTCTATTGGCAACAATAAGGAGCGCACCAAGTCATAGAAAAGTGGCAGGATCTGCAGGATGCTCCGCCGCATGAGAGGAGTGTCTAATGCAAGGGGTCAATGCAATTTCCCCCCTTTAGACATAATCCAACTGATTTCCTGTCGAATTTCACCAGTGTTAAGGAGGTCACTGTGATTAGCTTATGGGCAACGGATTATTCCTCGCCTTTAATTCTATGTGTCAGGGAAGAAAGGCTGAGCTCTCTCTTTTTTCCCCCCGAAAAAAATTCTAAATCTGTATCAATAATGTGATAATTAACTCCCTCTGGATTTGCCAAGGCTTCGTTCAGCTGAGCTCCATTCTTTTGGCGCCCTTCCATCATTTGACAATTAGCCGGTGAGCAAGTTCTGCTGCTGGAATTGAGCAAAAGGGAAGGAGGAAGAGATGCCTGTGTCTCCGGGGATGCACGTTTTTTTTTTTTTGGTCCGTACCTTGGAAGGTCACAGAGAGGACTGGAAGATGTGAATTATGGGAATGGAGAGGAGGCGACTCTCTGCATCTGGCGCATACGGAAACCAGGACAGAAGATGCATGCAATGGCCGAAACAGGCAAGGATGCAAAGGACTGAGTCCAGGGAGAGGCTCAGGCCATGAAATCATTGTCAACGAATGACAACTTTGCAAGGCAGAACTGCCACTGCTCTTTGTCATGTTATGGGATTTGTGGTTTTGTGGGATATTTTCCCTTCTCTATCAGAGAGCTCTAGTGCTCCAACAAATGACTTATACCTTTGGGGAGATAAAGCAGGGAATAATAATAATAATAATAATAATAACAACAACAACAACAACAATAATAATAATAATAATAATAAGCACATCAAACTACTCTGGTACTTCCGAATTCAGACAGACAGAGTTTTGGAGCACAATAATAATAATAATAATAATAATACTTTATTTATACCCTGCCACGATCTCCCCAACGGGGTCTCAGGGTGGCTTACATGAGGCCAAGTCCGCACAACATATTACAGTGAAATAAAACCAAAACATAAGCAACAAGCAACAGCATCAAAATAACATTTAAAAACCACATAAAAAACACAATACTCTTGACCTCACGATCGTGTTAAAAAACAAAGTATGGATTGTCGATGTCGCTCGAAGAAAAACAACTGGAAAAGCTGACACGATATGGGGATTTAAAGATCAAACTGCAAATACTCTGGCACAAGCCAGTAAAGGTGGTCCCAGTGGTGATTGGCACACTGGGTGCAGTGCCTAAAGACCTTGGCCTGCACTTAAACACAATCAGCACTGACAAAATTACCATCTGCCAGCTGCTGAAGCCACCTTACTGGGATCTTCACACATTATTTGCCGATACATCACTCAGTCCTAGACACTTGGGAAGTGTCCAACGTGTGATTCAATACAACAGCCAGCAGAGTGACCTTGTCTGCTGTGGACTCATCTTGTTGTGTTTCAAGGAATAATAATAATAATAATAATAATAATAATAATAATAATAATAATAATAATAATATAAGGTTCCATAGGATGGAACTGTGGCCATTAAAGTGGTGTCAAAGCTGCATCAACTCTGTACCCTTGATTTGTGGCTGGGAGAGAAAACCTGTAACAAAACTTGAAAAATGTTCTGTTCTTGTTTTGAAAGTGTTATTTCCTGTTTAATTGTGTGGTCCTGACTTTGAAAGTATACTGCAGAAACTTTGTTTTTGTGACGTGAATTGGTTGAGACTCAATGATGAGCTATTCATTGACAAACTATCACAAAATGTGCTTCAGGTTGTTCCTCCTGCAAAAACAAAGTTTGTGCAGTTTAATAAACCTTTCCCATGTTTTTATGATAGGGCCAATAAGGAAATGACATTTATAACCCAGGAAATAAAGTTGTCTTTCATAGTGTAATGTATACCCAGTGGAGTGTCCTAAGCCTTTGGCAACTAAAGGCAAAATCTAGCAGCCAAGGAGGTCCTGAAACAATACTGGGATGTGTCAGCTCCAGCTCCCCATGCGAGGACATGAGAGAAGCCCTCCACAATGATGGCAAATCATCAAAACATCTGGGCGTCCCCTGGGCAACGTCCTTGTAGATAGCCAATTCTCTCACACCAGAAGTGACTTGCAGTTTCTCAAGTCACTCCTGAGACAAAATAAATAAAAATAAATTTCTCTAATTTATTAGCGGCACATTCCAAGCTGACAGTCCTCAAAATTGCCCAGAATTTTAATTCTACATTTTCAATTTCAGTCCTTTCTGCTGAAGAGAAAGTTTGTTTTCAAAAAAGTTTTTTTTTCAAGAGACAGACACAAGATTCTTTTTTTAATGGATTTTTTAAATTTTAGGACATACACATACACAAACACAACATTTACAATTCCCACTACTACCATGAGGATTATTTTCTTTTACATATTAATCCTTTTTGAGACAACCCTTCTAGATTTACATACTGTATAACATTTGTATTCTATTCCTTATGGCCTGATCTTTAGACTTATTCATAATATAATTCTTGACCCAGTTCCATCTTTCTTCAACTTCTTGCATTCTATTTTCATTACATTTTGAATCATTTAATTTTACATCTATAATTTCAAATTCCATTTGGTCCACCATATACTGATACTATTTATTTACTGTCCACTTTGATTTGTCTTTCCATCCCAATACTATCACCGCTTGTATGCACTCCATTATTGCTTCCTTTATTTCCAGGTAATTTCCCATTCCCTCTCTTTGTACTAAGACCGCCATTTCTTTTGTTATCACCCAATCAGTCCCTAATATTTGGTTTGACACATCTTGTATTGTCTGCCAGAAATATTGTACATGTTCGCATTCCCACACCATATGTATAAACCGCTTGCACCACCTCCTTTGAATGTATAGACCTGTTATGAGTTTCATTGAATATGCAGGATATATCTATATCTATATCTATATCTATATATCTGTCTACGGGGGTTGAATGACAAGTAATGCCTCCACCTTCGTTACTTGAGTTTGGATGGTAATATTTTAATAAATCAAATGCAGAAATAATCCTTAGACCTCACTACCTCTGAGGAT